TGTGTGTGTGTGTGTGTGTGTGTTTAGGTCAGAAGACAACCTCAGATGTAGGTATTTTGTTAGGGAGTCTTTTGTTTTCCACAGCAAATGTCAGGCTAAGCTGGCCTGCAAGTTTCTGAGGGTCTCCTGTTTCCACTGCACGTCTTATCTCACTGTCTGCTGCTGCGCATGACTTTCCTTGGGTTGCTTGCGTAGCCCACACTTTAGCCACCGAGCCATCTTCCCTGCATGATCTCTCTGTAACTTCCTCTGGGTTCTGCTGGCACTAATCAGTATCCCGTATTGAAAGCGCTTGCTTATAGGAGATCTTGACCTTCATTCTAGTATGGCAACAAATAAGTTGTATCTTACCACACTGGGCACAGAACTTTGTACATCTCAGTGTGGTAGACTCTCTACTACACATGACCCCTGAATACCTGCTGTATGGATTTGACAATCTGGCTTGTGACTGCTGATTTGCAGGTTCCTTCTGGTATCTGCTAATGTTGAGCTGGGTATAAAAGCCTTCTGTAGGGGTCCCTTTATTTCACTATTGAAACCTGCATTCTTTGCTGTTTGGTAGGTGTGGCATTTCTTCCTGGTTGGCCATCCTCAAAACAGGACCAAGTCATTGAAGGTGCAGAGCCAGTACTTAGGTACCTGGTGGCATCCTAAATATATCACCTCTGTCTGTGTACCATGCTTTTTCTGGACAGCTCTGCTAAAGGGGAGCCCCAAGCACAGCTGCTATTCCACGAAGTAGAAGAATTATTTCAGCATTTACTTAGAACTCATGTTACCCAACCAAGCGTGGGTGAAGTTGGGCAGAAGCCTCACCCTGGCTGTGTTGCGAATGATCTTTTTTAATTCCATGACTAAGGCTCCCTGACTGAGTCAGCCACATCATTACTGGATCCTTTTTGTATGAGGAACAAACATCCTCCAGAAATATCTTCAGTCTTCATGCAAACAATTCTGGGGGCTGACACTGCCCTTTTGCCAGATGTCCCTCGACACATCTGAATCTCCTCTAGTCTCAAGCTGGACCCTTAATTGTAGCTGAATAAATAAATTGAGCATAGTTCAAATTCTTTACTATTTTCTGTTTGAATAGTATGTGCTTTACCACTGTATGCATTTCACCCTGTGTGAGGGCCCATTGTGACTTGGCCATGTGCTTTTACATGGTTCACTGTGATTACAGCCAGTCTTTGCTTCCAGAAGGCAATGTTCTCAGAGGCAGATCTTGTGTTCTTTTGCTCTCTATGTTGTCATGAAAAAAAGCTGCTCATAAATTAGGGTTTTGAATGGAACAGGGGTATCTAAGAAAGTTGCCAATGCTTTAGATAAATCAATTAGAACTAAAGAAAATTTGAATTGTGAAAGATAATGGAATGGGAAATGTACTCATTTGGCCAACATAACTCCATGAACTCAGGACACTAAGACATGTCCCCCTCCCAGGTTCCCACAGAGTGAGACCTTGTGGTGTTGTTTAAGGTACACCAAGGTGTTTGGGTTTCCTACTTTAACCTCTGCCACTGGGCCATATTTTAGTGATTTAATACCTAGACAAACACAATGTCAGAAAATAATAATAATCCTAGGGAGGTGAGCATGAGACACTGGGAAGACTGTAATTATACAGAATCTGAAAGGATTAGAACATTTGCGTTTGCTTAATGTTCTGGTAAATTGCTGGTTAGTCAGAAAAGCATTCTGATTTCAACACTTTTTGAATAATACTCACAAAATGCCCTTAGCAAAGTCTATGCAGTAAACAGAACTCAGACTCTCTTTGATGTCTGAGAGGTTTTTCTTAGAGCCTTTAGGTCAATACTGCAAGCTCACATTTTCACATAAGTATTAGGAGGTAAGACGCCACAGGATCTAGCCGTTGTCTGAACTGGCCACTGTGTTCTTTAGACTTTGGTTTGGATAAATCTTTCATCTCAGGTTAATAGTTTTTGATTGCTTTTCCTTGAGTATCCCATGCTCCAAATTAACTCTGGGATACTTTTATGTCTGAAAATGGCATGTAAGAAATACAAACTTTAGAGAAATATCACCCTAAATTATTCTCTTTGCACAGCCAAAACTCTTTTTAAAGTACTTTTTCCTATACTTCAATGATTTCTTCCTATGCCCTAATGGTTTAAGCCCATTTAAACATCACCATTTAGACTACAAAGGCACCTGTGATTTAGAAACCATGTAGAGTCTCCACAGAAAAGGAAAACACTAGATTTTTCAAAAGTATTTCTCTTTATATTTCTTTAGTCTTCATAGCCCAAGGTATACATTCAAAAACAAAAACAAACAAATAGGATAGATAATGGAATTATTTTCTCTGAATTTGTCAAATGCAAGTGTACTAGACATTTTTTAGGTATTTGTTGCTTGTATATATGGTATATAGTTATTGTACTTTTGTATGTAGTTTTTCTTATATTAGCTATAACTTTTTTCCTTTTTTTCTTTTTATTAAAATAGAAAGGGGGAATATGGTGATATTTCATTTGTATGGAAATGTGATTTTATTTATATGTTAATAAAGTTGCCTGGGGGTTAGAGCTAATAGCAAGCCATAGCCGAAGCCGGCCAGTGGTGGCACACACCTTTCATCCTGATCACATGACAGGGAGATCTGTGTGTTCAAGAATACAGCCAACATGGAGACACATGCCTTTAATCTCAATACCAACCATAGAAGACCTGGAGGTCTGTATAGACAGGCAGTAACGAGGAGGTCATGTGGTTGGGTTTACAACCAATGAGAAGGCAGGGGAGGACTGGTGGATGAGAGAGATTTGTCCTGACCGTGGGCCAGGCAGGACTGGAGAAAACTCCAGCTACAACAAATCAATGGATTCTGTTTGTTTGTGTTGTTGTTTATGGCCTATATGATCTTAACTTTATAGCATTTAAATCTTATTTTTTAACTAACCATGGTGGACTAAATACATCTCTTTAGTTCTAATGTTTGTTGAAACCTTTCTGAAACTACTGGAAATGCTTGAATATGCACATCATGAACTAACTTTCTTAATCTCCTTTTTTTCACTGTATTTGATTTTATAGTTTTGAAACGGGGTCTCTTTATCTCAGGCTGGCTTTGGACTCACCACCAAAGTGGGAGTGATGATGAGCTCCTGATCTTCCTGTCTCCATCTCCCAAGGCCTAGGATTAAAAGCGTGTGCGAATAAACTCTCTAGAGCAAGTCAAATAGCAGCAAACATGACTGTGCAGGTAGAGTTAATGTTTTCAACTTCCATTTGGCTAAATCTTGGCATCTTGATTGGTTTAAGACCCTTTTTAGACTTATCCAGTACAGTGTATGGAGTTTTCAAATTCTACTCTGTAACTTAACAAGCTGTTCTGACAATTCCATGAGTTCTAGTAGAGGACAGTAGACCCGTGGGTCAGAGACCAAGGGCTTCATCACATGTGCGCAGTAGAGAAGAGGGCTTCTTATCCATGATTCCTGAAGCTCTAACTTCTTGGAGAGATTCACAGCAGCACAAGGGATGCTGTGTACTCTCAAGCCAGCATCCCAGCTGAGGGACCAAACTTACAAAGTTCCATCTTTTATAATGGGTGACTGATAAATCCTGCCCACCTTTGACTAGAGTGAAGCAAATTATTATCTTGGACAAACAGATTTTTCTCATTTCTACAGAAGGAGGCAGTATCTATATTTTCCAAGACTGTTCAATACACCAACCAAGTAAGATGTATAGAAATAGGACATACCCAAATAGAGTTGTCTCCCTACAATGACATGTCAATAATAATGTACATGTGATATGCATGAGTATATATAAATTCATATATATATTCATATTTTTGTGGGAACACCTATGTGTGTGGGTACACATGACATCTATGTATGTGGAGGCCAGAGGTCAACATTGGGTATCTTCTTCCTCAATTACTCTTTACCTTATACACTGAGGAAAGGTATCTTAGTTGATCCCAGAGACCTCTGATTTGGCTAGCCTTCCTGGCCAGCTTGCTCCAGGGATCCCACGTCTTCCACCTCAGCTCTGGATCCTGGCTTTATATGGGTGCTGAGGTTCTGAATTCCAACTCT